GAACAACAACTGACAAAGATGCTTCGGAAATTCCCTGGAAGCAAACGAGGATCAATAAAGACATCAAATGAGGGGAATGGAATAAGTTTCACCACGAACCTTCGTTCGTAAAAGAAAGAACCACAAGACAATTAAGTCACGGGTAGTTATCTAGATAACAATGCCTAGGCGTGGTCCGACTATCATGAGGTATTATACCCCCAGACTCTACCTATCCCAGCATCGAACTTTGCCTAGCAGTGCCCTGAATACATGAGGTATTTCACCCCCAGACGCACCCTATCCAGCAATATAACACCAGACATACCTAGCAGTGGTCTATTACCGACACACTTTAGTAGGCAGTCTACGAAGTTCCCTTAATTACTTCGTGAAAGAAAACGTTGACATATGAAGCTCGGTCGATCACTTCATAAAAGAAACGCTGACTCCAAAGCTCTCTCAAAATAAAAGTATGGGGAAATACTACTAGAGTACTCCCGTACGCTCCCGTAACCGACACACAAAATTGTCAAAAAGACTTTGTACATGATAGTACTTCTGGCACATTATAGTACTCTGGTATGCGAAAGTCTCGTACCCGAGAACATAATAGTACCCTGGCACAAGCAGCACCCAAGACACAGAGCTTTGAAAAGGACTTCGTACATAAAATGTACTTCTGTACGTAGGACGTACTCCACCGATCATCAATCTCACAACGCACGTACTCTTAAATAGAGACTACCCAATGTCCAAACTTAATTGAACTAAACATCCCATTTAAGTCTTAACCCATCACTAGGCAAACCTACAATACTTATAATCAATTTCCGATACTATCTCCGTTTAGGAAACGCTAACTAGTGTATACTTAACACAAAGTTTTAAATAATAATATCATATATACACATCTTAACACATATTGGACCATAACTGGTTCGCACGTTGTATATCATCAATTATATATATAACACACGTTTTGAGCAATAGCAAATATTTCAGACACATATATATATTCCATACTTTAATCAATGCTCGTATTAAAATCACGTTCCTAAAAGGGACTATACACATGATACCTTATCGAATGAACACATAGTTCAAAAATACATAATTCGTACTCCCGGATCTAAAATTTACCTCATTACCTAATCCATATTCCCGGATCTAAAACTAACCTCTTGATCTGATCCATACTCTCGGATCTAAAACTAACCTCTTGATCTGATCCATACTCTCGGATCTAAAACTAACCTCCTGATCTGATCCATACATCCAGATCTAAAACAACTGTATCTCTTTATCCTTTTATCTCATGGTCCAACCCATCTTTTATCACCTACCAACAATCTCATCTACCCATGTTCTACCCAACATATTTTTAGATACAAAATACATATATAGTTTAACTCATTAAAACTTATATAATTCATCCATTCCACAATCATCTCAAATAAACAACAATATATTATACACATTGCACGTATTTCATAGCAAATACTTAATATTTATGTGTTAGAAGAAAGTGACTACACACTCACTTGATCAGAAGATGATCGGGCAACACTACGACTCGTAGAAGTAGTATCCTTCGGTGAAACTGTGATCTCTTCACACACCGGACTTCTCGCGGGCAGAGCTTCGGCTCGGAAACTCTTTTCTTCTCGGGATCTTCGGGCTTCGGGACTCGCTTTGGGTCTCGGGATGATACCGGGGCTTCGGGGGGTTAAAATAGGGCTTAGAGAGGGTATCGGAAGTGAGAGATATGAGAAGGAGCAACCAAAATCGGCTGACCCTCGATTTCTATTTATAGGGTCATTTTTCAGCTCTCACGTCGTGAATTTTAAGTTTTCACGTCGTGAATTCAATAGTCATCAGGTGCGTCATCGCCACTTGCGTCTGTCAGGCTCCAGAAGTCATAAATACTGAGTTCACGTCGTGAACACTGTATTCACGTCGTGAATTCTGACAGTTTTGGGGTTTCGCGCCCCGAACTTCAGAAATTCATAACTTTCGCATACGAACTCCGTTTTCGACGTTCTTTATATCCACGCGTAGGTGAGATTATGCTCTACAACTCTCGTTTAGACTCCGTTGGCTAATTTTGATTTTAATTTTAATATATTATTAATATATTATTTTTAGTAGGCCGGGACAGGAAAACTCCGTTCGAAATTCATAACTCATTCATCTGAACTCCGTTTTCGTCTGTCTTTTTATCGTTGGACTACTATTGATGAGATCTTTAATTCTCATTTAGAAAGTTTTGGCTAAATATCACTCGACCTCAATCTCGAGTTTCGAGCTGCATATTGTTAATGCTGAAACTTCGAAAAATCATCTTCCTCATACGAAGTCAGATTTAGACGTTCTTTTTATGCACCCTCTCGGTTTAACGTATTCTACGACTTTCATTTAGATCGCTAAGGCCAAATATCGCTCTAACGTAAATTCACTATTTACGTCGCGCTGTGTCGTGCCGGTTCTGTCGCGAAACTTCGACAGGTCATAACTTCTTCGTTATAACTCGGATTTCGGCGTTCTTTATATGTACGGAATCCTTCTAACATATACTACAACTTAGTTAAAATTACTCCTTCTAAATAATCTTCCATCAAAAAGTCATTTTTGATGCTTATCGTCTCTAAATTGACTAGCCCGGATCTACGGGCGTTACATAATACGACTATTGATTTAATGCAAATAAATATCAAAATTAATTATAATATACAAAAGTAAGCATATATTGAAATGCTATTCCGGAGTGTCATTCCAGAACAACAACATTCCAGGTACTGGGTTCTTCGTATTCCGGAGCGAATATACCATTCTAGAATGACTTGTAATGACTAATGTAGAGTTTTTCCGTCAGTAAAAATGGTGCTCCACACATTTTAAGGTTCTCATACGGTTCTCACATGTTAACTAAAAATAATAAAAATACTACAAATTTCGGACTTGTTCTCTGAATTTCCAACATGATCTACACACTTTGGAATACAAAAATTTATTTTTAAAGTAAAATACAAGTAAGTAGAAGAGTTGAAGTCCAACTGGTTTGTCTAATCTATGCCTTATAACCTTAAAAACTAAGTCCGAAATTGTAGTAAGAAGAGTTTCGGATTCCCAATTTTCAAAATGTGTATTCCAATTTTCTCGGTGTGGACCCCATATATGTAGCATTAGGCCATACTAATGTGCTTGGTCAATTTTGGTTTGGCCCGGAATAGTTATTCCGGAGAGAATGATTAGTTAAAAAATATTATTTTTTATTGATAGTTAACTAAAATGTGGTTAGATTACTCTGTTTCCCATAAATAAATGCAAGACAACATTAAACGATAAACTACTCTTAATAATGATGTCTTTAATAGCTAGCTAGTATTTTTGTACTCTAATAAAAGAATAGACTTATTATCCTTTTGTCATGTGTTATCTTATTAGGCTTCCTAATTAATGTCACGTCACTTGTCAACTTATTAATTCTCCATTTTAAAGTTCAAATTTTAAATTCCACTCTAATTACATTAAATTAATAACATTAGAATAAAAAATAAAATAATGTTAATACAGATTATAAAGTCATATAATTTCACGTATTTATTTAAATTAATAATTATAATTTTATATAACTAAAAAAATATTTCTTAATTAATAATTTATTTAAAATAATTGATTAATAATTTTGAGTTTTAATATGAAAGTTTAATTAATTTTTATAACCGTAGTTCCCACATATTATAAACTAATATTAAAAATAAATGTTAGAAAAACTTTTTTGAAAAAAAAGTGTGAGCCTTTTAGGCATAGGGCCAAGCAAAAGCCCGTGAGCTTGTGCACTCTAACAGACTTACTTTCCAGTTAAAAACGGTACAGGCCTAACATAGCTTGGATGGGCTGTGTTTTCTGGGCATTGACCGAAGCTAGACAGGGGGCCTTTTTGTGCTTTTCGTGCAATTAATTTAGTGTGTGAAGGTAGGGCTGTAAACGAACCAAACGAACACGAACGGGGCTTGTTCATGTTCGTTCGTTTAAGTTAACCGAACAAATGAACGAACACGAGCGGTTAAACGAACAAGTTTTTTTTGTTCATGTTCGTTCGTTTAACAAATTACATTGTTCATGTTCGTTCGTTTATGTTCGTGAACATGCTAAACAAATATAAACAAACGAACATAAACAAACGAAGATAAACAAACATATATGAACATAAATAAACATATAATATAGTAATGTAATCAACCACAATTAAACATATATGAAGATAAAAGGAACTTAATGAACGAACATGAACAAACGTAAACGAAGAACATGAATGAACGTTCATGAACATAATTGAACGAACGAAACCATTGTTCATATTCGTTCGTTTAACTAAACGAATGAGAATTTGTATTCATGTTCGTTCGTTTATTAAATAAACGAACTTAAACAAACTTCCCGCCGAACGGTTCACAAACAGTTCGTTGAACGTTCAATTCGTTTACAACCCTATGTGAAGGTGTTGGAAGAAAAGCAGAAAACTCTTCGACTATCAACCCATGCATCAGTTTCAACCTAAAACTTGTACGTTAACATCAAATAAAATATGTAGAACCAAAGGACCAAAAAGTTTCACTAAGAGGTTGGGTTGAGGGTTCAAGTCCGGTGAACAATGGAGTAGTTTAAGAGAATGATTTAATGTGTTAGTTGTTCACAAGAAAATAAATAAATAAATAAATGAAATGAGTAGACCAAGAACACATAACGAAAACACCAATACATTGATTTTAAACTCCTAAACGTCGCCAACTTTTGTCTCCAATGGAGTAGTTTAAGAGAATGATTTAATATGTATGTTTTTCATGACCTATGCATCTTAGAGCAATGACATAACAGGCCCTTGTAAATTTCAATTTTTTTGTAAAAGTTTGGTATATATATCTCACTCAGTCACTCGAGTGCAATCAAGCATGCAACGGTACTTCAATGTTCATTTCCAGATGATTATTTATTACAACCTCAAGATTAGAATTCATACGCCTTATATGTTTGTGATACTAAAAAACATAAATAATGATGAAATATCTCAAACTTAAGAATCCTCTGGATATTGAAACATGTTGAATGATGGATTAACAATAGTAAATCCACCATCGATAAACAAATTATGTCCACTAATGTACTTAGCCTCATCGCTCGCCAAAAAAAGGGCAGCTTTAGCAACATCATCGGTAACACATGTCACACCCTTAAGGTTCGCAAGTGAGTTTACCAGGTTCTCGAAAGCCTCCCCCTCAAGCCCAACAAAACTTGTGGCTATTGGTGTAGCCATCGCATAAGGTGACACACAGTTAACTCGAATACCAAATTGTCCAAGCTCTACTGCCACATTTTTTGTCAAACCTACTACAGCATGCTTCGCACAACAGTAAGCATGTGAGGCCACACCACCGATATTCGAAGCAACACTACCTGTTGATATTATTGAGCCAGCTCTTGCTGGAACCATAACCCTAGCAGCATGTTTCATCCCTAGAAAGACGCCTGTGACGTTGACACTAAGCACACGTTCAAACTCTGTTTTTTCATTGTCAATGATCCGGTACTTGCTAGGATCAAGTGTTGCTGCATTATTGAACATGATGTCAAGTTTCCCATAAGTTGCTACTGCAATATCTACCGCGTTTTTGACATCTTCTTCAATTGATACATCACAATGGACATATATCGAGCTTGATGAGCCTATGGCTTCACATACTGCTTGACCGAGTTGATCTTGGATGTCGGCAATGACGACTTTTGCACCATGTTCTGCAAAGAGCTTTGCTGTACATTTCCCAACACCACTTGCTGCTCCCGTTATCAATGCCACCTTTCCTTCTAACCTGCACAAAAAGAATCGAAAATATGCATATATTGAACCTGTCGCTGGTATATGGAGCCGTTGCTCCCTCTTCTCTCTCTTCGTCTTCTATATATAACACTCTCAAGTCTCAAGTCTCAACCTCTTCACAATTCACATTTACTTAAACAATTAACTTTCTCCTTTCTTAATCTATTTGATTCTAATCGTAATCTATTCCATTCCAATCTTAACCTATTCTATTCCAAACGGAATCTAACTGTCACAAATTAAAAAATATGGGTTCAAATCAAACCGTAGAAAAAGTCGTTGGAATTGTGAGTTTTAAAATTTACCATTTTATTTAGTTATCATTTTAGGATTTAACTGACGTTTTAAAATTTTAGTTGTCGTTTGTAGTAACACTTTATTAATGAAATGTTATTTTTATTTATATTTAAATGGTTCTAAATAATTTTAAAAAGAATTCTATAACTTTTAAGATGGAAGGGTTACCTTATTTGTATTTAGGTTGATATGGATTGGGATGGATGAAAATCAAAAGAGAAAAAAGAAAGCTTATATACAGCATTAGGGTTGGAGGGCTGACTCTCACCATCCTTAGAGTCAATTATTAAGTTTTTCTGTTATTTAGATTTCTTAACTCATGGTATTAGGCCATCTCCAATACATACAACTAGCATCTCGTATACACACAATTGCAATAAATATAATGGGATATATGTTACTAAGACATCATCACCACACAAGCACCACATGTGATTGGCATACGGCATACCCACCACTACACATTGTTTTTTTAATATAAAAAATTATATAATAAAAGGTTTCTCATTGTTTGGTCAAAGGTTAAATGCATTCAAAACTTTCTGGTTGGTCGTGCATGATAAATCATGATGGGGACAATGATAAGACCATAGTAGCAACGAAAGTTGTTCGTAGCAACGATAACGATAGGGGCGGGCTGCCATAGTGGCAACGAAAGTTGTTCGTTGTATGCATACCAAAGGGACTTATCATGAATTGTTTATTCCGGAACCGTATTTTCAAAAAAAGTAAACCTTCTTTACTTGAATACTTCACAAAAATAATTAACCTCTATATTAATTTAACAAAAGTATAAGTACGAAAAAAATGAAAATCTCGATATGACAAAGAAAATATAACCTTCTTGTAGGGGTTGTCATTAGCATTGGAAGAAGAAGCTCGAAGGAGTGTAATGTTCGACGATTGGAAACCAAAGATCAACTCTTACATGGGAAGGATCATTTAAATGAACCAACCATTTTCTAGTGGTGGTCATTAGCTTTGGAAACACAAAGGACAAACAAATGGATATAAAAAGAAAATGGGTAACCATCGTCTATGTCCTTGTTCACGTGTTCTTATGGCCAACGTACAAAATGATAAATAATAACGTTAGGATCGCTTGGTTTCTAAGTGATTTATGAGTAAAAGTATATATAGGTTAAACTGAGGCTAGCATCTTGTCACCTTATTTTTTTTGAATCCCACATCATTTTTTCATTTTACCACTAAATTGTTAGCATTTCATAGGGAGTGGTAACACTCCTAACATTTTATATTTTTTTCAAATTTAATTAAATTATATATATTTTTTTAAAACTCAAACAATTAAAAATGAAAACTTTTCTAATATTTCAAAATTTACCCTAATTGTTTCAACTAAAAAAAATAAATACATATTTTTATGAAGAGGAATGTTTAGAAAGGCTAAATGACAAAATTGGTCAATTTGGGGATGATCCACTTTCTCCAAGTTTTAATTCTATATATATACTAGAGGGTGTTTGGAATTTCAAAATAGGTTAAAGACAAAATTACCCTTCAGTTATACCCAACAACCTCCATCCATCGTGTTCTGTTTCTCATCGAGCATGTCGCCTCCCAAGTACCCCCGACCTTGCAATTGTCTTTTCTTCCATTGCCTACAATCGTTTTCTTCCATCGCCACCATCAGGTGCGTATGCTCCGCTGTTCAGGCGATTTTCTCTGCAACAGTACCGATTTTTGTTTTTACTCTCCATCTGATTGATTGAAGCTCCAAGCATATGATTTCTAATTTTGCATCCTTATTTTTGTGATTGATTGTTGAATATGATTTTAAAACTGATTTTGCATATTGATCGGTAAAGCACCCTTCCCTCGCTCCTCTCGCTAATCCCGTGACGAGCTTCATCTAGCGAGCCCCCTAACGAGGGCTAGGGGCGGTATTCCGATGCCCTTAGCGAGCTTAGCGACTTTATTTGGCGACTCCACTCTGTTTGGCCTAATAATCTTTGTTTGTGTAATACTATTTCTTCTGCCTTTTGTTCAGAGCTCCCACAGTCATCGATAACATATTCAAGTATGCCAATTATAGAAAAGAATAAGATATTGTTGTTTACTAATGTTGTATAATGAGATCCCAAACTTGTATCGGTTTCCCTTGAATAATATATTCTTCCCTTTACCATTTTCAATTCCAATATCTATTGCTTCCAAACTCTTCTCAGTTTGTTTCTCACCAAGCATATATTTACGCTTACATGACGCTCTAGCAACATACACTAACTCACTAATCATAGTGAAAAGCAAAGCAATATCTATATGATTCTTAGTTACACCAAACAAGGACCAATTAGAGTTAGATGTGCAAAGCAACGTGCATAAAATGTTGAACTATTATCCATTAAAATCAGACTCTTGAGACAATTAAACTTACCTCACATATTGCTAGCTCCATCATAGCCTAGCCCAAAAATTCGTGACACACTAAGCTTATGTACTGCAAGTAATGAATCAATGACTGCTTTCAAGGACAAAGATCTAGTATTTGGGATGTGTATAATCCCAAGAAAGCATTCAATGACATAACCTTTTTTTATCGACATACCGAAGAACAAGTGTTATTTGTTCTTTGGTAGGAACATTACGGCATTCATAAACCAAAATAAAAAAGTAGCCATCCCCAATATCTTCAATTATAAACTTACTAGTTTCAATAACACCAGACGATACTATATTTAGTTGGATTTTATGAGAGGATAACATTAGATTTCCCGGTTCATTTTGCAAGAAGATTTTTCTTGTTTCCTCATTGTGGCCTGCCAAAAACTTCAACAACTCTCTACAGTTTCCTTGATTACTTGAATTTCGTGACTCGTCGTGGCTTTGTAATGTTAAAACTTGATGTAGAAGAAATCAAACAGAAGCAACTAATCGGGTCTCATACAAAACATTGTTTTGATTAGATTGCTTAGCAAACGAATATGCAATGTGTTATTTTAATTCATCAAGTCTTCACAGCTTTGTTGGACTTGATTATAAGTACTCTTTGGGCCACCGATATAAACTTCAAATATTTTTGGAATCCTTCAGTTATGAAAGATTTGTTATCACCTTCTTCGACATCATCAACGTATAAATAAAAATATAAGAAGAACGTAACCTTTTCCTTCAAATTGTATTCGAACGAAATTTTGTATAAACTGAACCAACATGGATTAAATCCCCTTTTTGTCTTACCAAATATTTTGGAGAAAACTTATGACAACGTGGTTGTAAGGACCTCTTTACAAGTAGACTCTTTGAATTTTCTCACGCTTAAACATCATGTTATTTGGGGCTAAAGGTTTCAGGCGTTTTTGGTAAAAATAAAAATTTTCATTAAATTAAAATAAAATAAATTGAAATAAAATACGATAATAAGTAATTTAAATTATTTAGATTAATAACCATAATAAACTTTGTTGCTAAATCATAAATAAATTTTGATGGAGTTTGGACGTCAAATGAAAAATTTAAAGTTAAGGGTCCAAATGTGACAAGTTACGAAAACTTGTGTTTGACTTGGGAAGTTGAATAACTAAGTGATTAGAACCATGTTTTTATACTTTATATGGTAGAAGGACTAAATTTGATCCATCTTAAAATTTTAGTTGAGTTGGGGACCATTTTTGCAACGATTTTTGGAATGGGGACCAAAAATGGCAAGTTGGCCAAACTTTCATAGGCGCACCATGCCCCATAGAAAAGCATGCCACACTTCCGACGCTGAACATATTAAATCACCATTTTTGCCTCCTTTTCTTATTCACTTCGTATCATTTCTTCTACGTTCAATTTCAACCTTTTTTCCACCTTTATAATCAATTTTTCCTTCAAGATTCATGGTGTTTTGATGTTTGGAATTTCTAGATGAATCATTGATCAAATCTTCTTAAGATCTTTCATCAAAAATGTGGTTTTATCTCCATTTTACCCAAATTCAAGTTAGGGGTTTTGTTAAATTGAAAATCTAAAATTCATGCCCCATTAGTGATGTTTTTATGAGTTTAATGTTATGGTTTCACTGTTTGATTTATCTCCAAAATCCAACCAATAAATGGTTGTGAGATTTTTGAGTTTTAAGGTTGAGCCATGGGGTTTCAAACCCGAAACCCCCAAATCCGAATTTAATGTTCTTGTTTAATTGCGAGCTTGATTTTGTTTGTGGAAGTTACTAATGCAAGTATTAGTTTTTCAAGAAAGGAGTACATTGTCTCATGATCAAAGAGACTTTTACTTACATAGTAGATGAGATGTTGGTCCCTGTTAAGATCATTGGCTAAAACAACACTTATAGCGTCAGAGGATACTGAAAGGTATAGAAGGAGTGGCTCCCAATATAGTGGTTTCACTAGCAAGGGTGTTGAACATAAATAATTTTTAAGTTCCTGAAAAGCATCTTCGTGCTCTTTGGTCAACTCAAACCTTTTGTTTTTCTTGGAGATATAATAGAAAGGTTTACACCTCTCTGAGGATCTTGAGATGAATATGTTTTGGGCTGCTATTCTTCATGTTAGTGTTTGAATATCCTTTGTCGAGGATGGGGATCTTAGATCGATAATGGACTTTATTTGCCCAGGACATGCTTCTGTTCCACATTTAGTCACCATGTATCTGAGGAACTTGCCTGATCTCATTCCAAAATGGCATTTGGAGGGCTTTATCTTCATGCTATATTAGTCTAGTATGTTGAAAGCTTCTTCAAGATCCTTAAGGTGATCTTTAACTTTCTTTGACTTGACCACAATGTCATTGAGTTAGACTTCCATGGTGTCCCCCAGTTTATCCTTGAATATCCAGTTAACTAGCCTTTGGTATGTTGCACCTACGTTTTTAAGACCAAAGGGCAAAGTAGTAAAGCAAATATATACCTATTGGGGTTATGAATGCGGTATCCTTTTGGTCAGATGGTTCCATTTGAGTTTGTTGGAACCCTGTTGATGCATCCATGAATGACAAAAGTTCATGGCCAGCGGTAGAATCTATCATGGAATCTATATGTGGTAAGGGAAAGGATCCTTAGGACAAGCCTTGTTAAGATCCGTATAGTCCATATATACTCTCCATTTACCATTCTTCTTTTGTACGACGACCACGTTGGCTAGCCACCTTTGGAACCTGACCTCCTTAATCATCCATGTTTTAAGAAGTTTTTTTTACTTCATCTTGGATAATCTGATTTCTCTTGGGTACAAACTGTTGGATAAGGTGTCTAAGTCCATAACTATATTTGAGATGTACTTGACCCGACCCGGCATGGTCCATTTGGGTTGCACTTCACCCGAACAATTTATATGGATAACCTTTTGAGAATGGTATAAAGTTATGATTTATTAATATATTATAAGTTCTAATATATTAATAGAAAATCATATTATTTAATTAGTATTGATCTAGAATTAATTTAGAATTAATTGGGTGATCAAAAAGGTGACTAATTAAATATGGACTCTTGTATTTATATAGTGTGGGCTATTGCTTATTTAGAATGGGCTAGGCTGCATGGAAAGTCCATGGATAGTCCATGGAGCTTTAACCCATGGATCTCATGGAAATGAAAGGTCATGGGTATTAGCGTTTACATGAATGTAACCCTAATCCACCACACTATATAAAGGAGTCCTTGGCACTTGAAATGGCACTAGAGTGTGTGTGAGCAAAGGTAGCTGATTTCTACAAGTGTCCATACTCTTTCTAAAGGTTTCTAAAGTTTGTGGTGATTTGTGACTTCCATTTGAGGCATCCACATTATTGGTGCTAGGCTCTCAAACTCCAAGGAATCAACCACTACTAAAAGGTATGTAATTCTTCTAGGATTTTATGATTCAAGTTCCCCATGCCATGCTAGTTAGAATGTAAACCTTGGAAATTTATTATTTGCATGTATCTTAGAGAAAACATAGATCCAAGGTTTCTAGGGTTGCATGTACACCTTAGGAGTGTTAGAATGCTCAAAACCCTTTAGTGG